CTGACTGCGAAAGAACCACTCCGTACATAATAACGCGTGGCAGACCAACTGTTTTACGAGGAAAAATTAAAAGAAGGTGGTTTGTTATAATACCCGTCTACCTACCACTATTCTCCCTCGATTTACTGGAAAGGTTCGAGAATAAAGAATTTAAATTTTGTCAAGGATAATCTTTCAAGGGATTGTTTTGATGATATTGTAATGCTGTGCTATGATTCGTTTCAAATTTCAAACAGAAAGAGGAAAGAGAAAAAGTAAATAAAAAAAGAGAGAAAGGGAAAAGAAACATTTTCCCTGCTTTTTTTCAAGGGCAAATTATTTTCCCATTTTTTTTTTTTTTTTTTTTTTTTTCAAGAATGAACCATTCGATTCTTAACGAAAGTGACGAACGAAGCACCTAGATTTTTCCATAGGTATGTATTTTGTTTCATAGCAGCGTTTACTGCATTCGTCGACTAACGAGCACATTATATCCTCGAGTATTTGCACCGAAACCCAAGCAATCGCCATCTACGTTCCGATATATATCTAAATATGAAAAATTACACTTTCCGTGCGTATCATAAATTGCAGTGCAATTTTCATTTACAACGTCATCGAGGTTCGACAATAATAGACAGAGCTTCCACAAGATATATATCGGGGAAATTTCGTCAGCGATTGGCCAAGGTTAGCAGTTCTCTCGCTCGCAGTATGGCAAAAAGTCAATGAGGTGTTTGCGATAAGGGTGCGAAAGCACGAGGACGGATCACGATCATTGAACGTACCTTCTCAGTGTAACGATGTCATGGGAGGAGTGCCTCGGACTGAGCCTAGGAGGCCTCGTCTTGATCGGCGACGGCGTCGAGAGCATCCTGCGATAATTGTGCGCGTGGCTGTAACCAGACCTGGTATCCCACTGCAGCAACCTCTGACCTCCTAAATCGCTGTTCGTTCGACGTACATGCTGATGCCTCGACGTGCGACTCTGAAGATCCGCCTGAAAGTACCACACGTCCTCGTTAACAATCGACCTCTCAACGCGATTGCTCGAGCGCTAAGCGAAAATACAGCTCTTCGCGTCTGGCTGTGCGGCCGTTAAGCCAGTCTTCCAGAAAATTGCTTGATCGTCGAGCAAACCCATTCCTTCTCACGGATTAGATTCACGCGTTTTGTGGAATTTTGTTAATACACAAATACACACACAATAATACATAATTCTGGTGTTTTTAGTTATGATCACATCGTGATAAACGATTATTAGTAATTTGTGGATTAACGGTGATGTTAAAAGGCAGGTGTTATATGTGTTCGTTCCACGCTGGTCGAGTCAGTTCTACCGTTCTATCATTCGTATTTTTACTTTGTATGATTTATCTTTGTTACACCGAGTGAGTTCAGTAAATTTTCAAACACTGTTTGACCGATCTTGGAGCGCACGAAGTAAGATTGGACCGACACAGACACGTCGTTGAAACACGATCATGTGTAAAAATAATTAAAAAAAAAAAAAAAAAAA